TTTGGAATCATATTGTTTGCGTCAATTGGATTTTGAGCCCTATTGTTATTTCAGATATGTTGATGACATTTTTTCAATTATTCCGAAATGTAAAGTGGAGGATATGCTTACGATTTTTAATAGTTTTCACACTCGACTAAAGTTTACGTTTGAATTGGAGAACAATTGTTCCTTAAGTTTTTTAGACACAAGCGTTATGCGAGTTAATGGCAAATTGACGACTGACTGGTTTCGTAAGCCTACGTTTTCAGGCCGTTATATAAATTTTCTTTCGAACCATCCGATGCGTTATAAAATTAGTGTGATCACAAGCCTCGTGGACAGGGCTATTTTACTCGCTGACCCTATGATTCACGAGAAAAACATCATCTTAGTCAAACGAATTCTTCGTAACAATTGTTACCCGTTAACAGTCATAAACAAAATTGTTAACAGGAGACTTAGGGCGATTAAATTTGGCGGTAATTTTGGTGCGTCTAATCGAGATAAATTTGATACACGAAATGTTATAGTGTTGCCGTATATTAGAGATTTGAGCGAAAATATTACTCGTTGCATAAACAAAAATGGAATCGGTGTAGTATATACCGTTCCAAAAAATTAGACACTTTGATAAAAAGAGGAAAAGATAGTATTGATAACTTAAAAAGAACCGATGTCGTCTATAAGATCGAATGCGCGAATTGCGACTCTACATATATTGGACAAACAAAGCGACATTTAGAAACACGTATTAAGGAACATAAAAATAACATTAAAAAAGACACGACATCACACTCAGTTGTTAGTTTGCATCGGACTTGTAACGATCATGAGTTCCGTTGGGATTCTCCTGTGATTCTGCATCAAGAAAAACAAACGAGAAAAAGAGAAATAGCAGAAATGTTCTATATAAAAAACCAAAGAAAAAGCATTAATTTACAAAAAGATACGGAGAATTTCAGTGGGATTTATGATCGCGTTCTTGAAGCTATTTAATATATTATATTGTCATATGTTACATATTTATTTATTTATTTATTTATTTATCTATTTATTTGACTTTGTATTGACGGTTTAAAATTGCGAAAGACACAGTACTTTGGTTTTCTATTTCCTCAACGCGTAGTGACTAAGTTTCCTGCTAACAGTCAACATCTATTTATTTCGTGCTTACTTCTGTCAGTTATACATTGTTCATCAAAACAATGGTTAATTTTGTCGGGGGTTTGCTGTAAATATGATTTATTGTATTAATCTGGTATGTAAACATATATATTTTTGTAAATCTATAATTATTTGTATGATTAAGCGCATTAAGAGTATATTTATATGTATATAATTGTTTATAGATTACTTGAAAAGGGCTGCAATGACAGCCGAAACGTTGTAAATTAAACTAATTATTTAAAATAAATTATTGCCAGTCTGGTCGACTTTAAAATTGGAGGAGAGTTTTTCATTATTTATTACTGGCGACTCTTAAGGATTATCATTTAATAATAATAAATGTATGTTATTACTTAATAATAAAATATCGATTATTGTGAATAAATTTTTCATTTTTAAAAACATATTTAATCATAATATAATATCATATAATAATATATATTTCTTACGCGTATATAGCTATTTAAATATTCAGGAATTTCTTCAAACTTTATTAATTTTGGCTTTGCTATATTAATTGTTGCTTTTATATCAAAAGCACCTAAAGTATTGATTACGGTGTGTGACTGAATTACAAGTTCATACGGAACAGTTCCGTGATTAAATTCTGGGAATTTTATTTTTTTGGCTTTAGCACCATCAATGTGAATTATCTTTAAAATATGACAATTTGAAATTATTAATTAAATAACAACTTAGTACTAATAATAAATCTTGTCGAATTAACATCTTATTTGTATATAAATATTATTTTTTATCAAATAAAAATTATTATAATAAAATTATTCCAAGTATAATTAATGTAACAAAACATAAATGTAAATAAATAATATATTAATTACTCGGTTTGGTTGCAAATTAAATTCTATTTGCTCAATTTCCTTATTCTAGGCAATCATTTGGATTTGATGCCGGCTATTATTATTTACAATAAACTTTAATAATTTATATTGTTGAGTCTTGCCAACAAATTTAGGTCCTTCTATTTCATCAATAAAACCAATAATTTCACTGAAATATTTTTTTTCGAAAAATTTAACATAAATAAAATTAATCATTTTATCCATGGTTAAATCATATTTACAGTAATACCCTTTATATGTCACAGTCACAATAATTTTCTACATTATTTGATATTAATTTTACTACATATTTAATTATATTTTGTCAATTCTAATCTATATATGTAGATATTACGTAGAAATGAGAAATTAAATTTAACTGTCCCAAAATCAATATTAACTGATTTATAAAAATCAACAACAGATGACAAATTATGTTATTTTTGTAAGTGTATAAATTTCGTATAGTAAGAATTAAGAATAAATATAAAAACTTACACAGTTGAATCTTCAAACTGTATCGTTTCTAATATTTCATCAGATACGAACTGTATTATTCCTCTTCATTGTTATGATTTATAATTGTAATTTCTTTTCCACTTTTTGTCGAAACATTAGTATTTTCAATAATATTGTTATGTTTTAAAATTGAAATGTCCTCTTTTTTTTTTAAATATCTTCATTTTTAGATATACTATGAATATAAATATATAAAATGTTACTAAATTAATAATAATAATTATAGTTATGATCATAAAACGATTATTAATTATTAGTAATAATCAATGACATAAGAATTAAATAATAACATATAATAAATTTTGTTATAAAATGAATTAACCTAATGAAATTTAAATAATTAAACATTAATAAATGAATGTTTATATCACACATAATTATACAAAATTTAAAAAATTTTTTAAGTAAATTAAATGATTAAATTCAAAATTATTGAAGAAAAGATATTCATGTTATAATAAATAATGAAAAAGCTTACCTAATCGATTTATTGAAGCGTGTTAATTCCTCCGTTTCTTCTAATTTTGAATATTTCAGTTTATTATCTAAAATTAATTTATATAATATCAATAATAAGTATATAATATTATATATACAAATATATGTTATGTAAATAAGAAAATATTTTTTAATACATTTTAGTTATGAATATTATATATATATATATATATATATATATATATACCTTGTTTAATTTTTTAGACATGTTATGTATTCTCGCAATATCTCGAATGTATTGTTGCCTTTTATCGTGATGCCGATTGGTTGTTGGTTGTCGAGCATTTCGTGCACTATGACTTGCTTCACTTGTATCCTCGTATGTTGGTTATATGATACGACTGTCAAACTGTCATTCTGGCTGCGTATATGTGATAGTGCGTGTAAGTTAAGAAAAAAAAATACAGAGAATAAATACATCATATATATAAATATATAAAAGATAGTGTAAGTTTAAAAAAAAAATACAGAGAAAGAAGAAAATAGGAAAGTATGTATATAGTATAATATATTATATACATTTCTATTTTAATCGTTATGTAGTAATTTTACAACCTCTCTATTATATATTTTCTATTTTGTCTATATTTATATATATATTATAAAATCTATTTTTATATATTTTTTATTATATATTTTCTCTATTATCTATATTTATATATTATAAAATCTACCTTTTTATGGAAATATTTAGACATTCTTGAATAGTAGTATTTTACAATTTCATACCATTGTAACGATCATGTGCTATAAATTATATTGTATATAATAGAAAGAAAGAAAGTGACGGAGATTAATCGAGAGAAAGAGAGAAAGGAAAAAGAAGGACCATAAAAAAGAAAAAGAAAGAGAAAGAAGAGAAAAGAGGATTCGGAAAAAATACAGAAAGAGAAAAACAAAAGGAAGGAAGAAGGAAATATGCAATATTAGGTAAATAAATTTATTTTTTATAAATTTAATAAGTGTATATTGATGCGGAATGCACTGATTAAATTAATTTTGATCGGGAATAGAGGAAGAAGGGGTTGATTGTTAACAGCTGAGAGTATGGTTAAAAAAAGGTTTATTCGATCTTTCACAAAAAACTAAAGTTGTCGATCTTTCACAAAAAAAACTAAAGTTTCGAGTTCGAATTAAACACACTTGGCGAACGGTGGACAAAAATTTTAACGAGAACGGACGGACATCTTGTGCTTGATCGTAATTGCTGCGCGCGTACTCGACGGAAATCTTCTCGCGATAATTTTTACAAAGATCGCAGCGATCAAGAGCCGAACGCGGATGCGCGATGCACCGTTCGCGAAATCGAGGTCTCTGAGAGTCTCCGGAACACTGTAATGTCGGAGCACGTGGTGATACATGCGGTCGTAATTGCAGCCGAGCTATGCATGTATTTCACAAATAAAACTGAAATAATGGAAAATATCGCTTGCACAATATTCTACAAATTTTTGCCGATGACCGGCGGAAAATAATCACTTTCGTGACTCGAAGGATTATGTGAACCACGCGTGATACGAATCTCCAATAACGAGGCAATGTGTTAATACACTGAGAGCCGGAACAAGAAGAAGGAACGGGAAACGAGGAAGGATATTAGCGACTCAGATAGGCATGATCGGGGGTGCGCGACAGATCCTAATCGATACACCGCGCACTTGAGTTGGCGAAAAAGGACCGCGAATGCGAATTGCAAAGAGGTGTGAGAAGGATCGGCTACGCGCTATGCCTCGGTCGCGTGGAAATTCGTGATTCGCTAATGCGACGATTTATGGTTCTCAATATATTTGATCGCGCGACATTTAAACTTTTCGCGGAGACTCTCAATTATTTTCAACGGTTCCGGAACATACCGCCCGTCTCGAATGATTTTATTCGAAGTAAAGACTATAACGCTTACAATTTATGACTAGAACGCTTACAATACGAATAGTTTTTTTTTTTTACAACAAATGGTGCAGTACAATAATTTTTGAACATTATTACTTAAGTCTAATCGGAATCGGTGCCGCCCGCCATGCCGGAACTTTGATCGCTTGAAGTATTGATATCGATCGGAAGAAAACATAATTTTACAATTGGACGCTTATACTGTGAACGCGCGGTGCGCACGGTAACGACGCGAACGAGTCCGTCGTTGCCGGGATGACATTCGATGATACGTCCGAGCTCCCAGTGAGACGGAGGAGCAAGTGCGTTCCGCAAGAGAACGATTCGGCCTACAGTCGCAAGTCGTTGCGCAATTTTCCATTTTGGCCGCTGCTGCAACGTTAATAAGTAGTCGTTTGACCATGATTTCCAAAATTTTTCTGTAATATGTTGCAACAATTGCCAGCGGGAAAGACGAGTTTCGTTAAGATCGAGAACGCTTGGCTGTGGCGCAGCTAAGATGGGTCCCCCGATGAGGAAGTGTCCCGGTGTTAATACATGATAATCATCGAGATTTTCGGACACAGACCCAATAGGTCTCGAGTTAAGACACGCTTCGATACGACAAAGAACAGTATTTAATTCTTCAAATGTGAGCGTATGTGAGCCGATACAGCGCTTTAAATGGTATTTGACGCTGCGTACAGCAGCTTCCCATAATCCACCGAAGTGGGGAGCGGAAGGAGGCACGAAATGCCAGTTTATTCCGTCGGTCGAAAGCGTATTTTGCAAATCCGAATTTTTTAAAGCCTGCGCGATTGCGAGTTTAAGTTCGCGATCGGCACCTTGGAATGTGGTTCCATTATCCGAATAAATCGATGCAGGGTATCCGCGACGAGAAACGAAACGATTTAATGTGGCGAGAAAAGCGTCTGAAGAGTAGTCGCTAACGAGCTCGAGATGGATCGCCTTTGTCGTCATACAAACGAACACGGCAATATAGGCTTTATGCGCTTTATGACCTCGTCCACGAGAGGTTCGTACAAGAATTGGACCGGCATAATCGACACCGGCATGTTCGAATGCTCGAGCTGAGCGATTTACTCTTACATTCGGAAGATCGCCCATGAGCTCGTTAGGAATCTGAGCCCTTTCTCGTGTACATGATACACATTTGTAGAGTACAGCGCGAACCAGAGATCGTGCTCGCAGAATCCAAAATTTCTCTCGGATCCGAGCTAATGTTAATTGAGATCCAGCGTGCAACATTCGTGGGTGTCCATGATGATCATCCTGAGGATGGTCCTTTAGGACAATCGGATTGCGAGGACAATCGTAAGGTGGCGTTCCTTTGTAAGGTGACTCGAATCCTTTGATCATTATCGATAAGGATTTAATGAAAGCATTGTGCGAGATTTCTTGATTTAGTTGCCTGAGTTTTGATATCTCGCTACTGAGTGCTGAATCTCGCTATGAAACAATTGATTGAATGTAACGAATCCAAAAGATTTCAGCGGACTTAATTTCAATCGGATTTAGGTAGATCGGAGCTCTAGGGTTTTGTATCTTCAGATTGAGATTGATATGTCGAGAGCGGGAATTCGTTACGAATCGATAGATGTATGCAGTTATTCGAAGGAGTTTGTGCCATGACGAATAACGTTGTGATAGGTCCCACGATGCGACAACGGATGTAGTGAGCGATTGTGGTTGCGCGCGTTGCTCGCTTAGCGCGTGGGGATCGAAATCCGAGTCAGATTTTGGCCAATAATCGGAAGATTTAATAAGCCAATCGGGACCTGACCACCATTGAAGGTTTGTGGCAAGGTCGTCGGGAGAGATCCCGCGCGATGCGCAGTCGGCAGGATTTTCCTTTGTTGGGACATGACGCCATGGAATGTCCGGAAGTAGCGTGTGAATATCGGCTACTCTATTCGCTATAAATGTCTTCCATGTAGTAGAAGGTCGGCTCAGCCAGGCAAGAGTAATTGTGGAATCGGTCCAACAATAAACATTTACCTCACGAAAGTCGAGAGCTTCGCGAATGAAATGAATGAGCCGTGCGAGTAATTGAGCTGCAGATAACTCGAGTCGCGGAACACTCATTACTTTGACAGGAGCGACTTTTGATTTTGCGGCAAGAAGATTGACCGAGACCATTCCATCCACCGTGACAACGCGAATGTACACCGCTGCAGCGTATGCTTTGGTAGATGCATCCGAGAATCCATGCAACTCTAGATGCAGTACGTGATGGCCGAGTTGAATCCAACGTGGAATCATCACCTCTTCTAGATGTTTAAGATGAGTATGATACTGCTGCCAGGCTTCAAGCAGATTCGGCGGAGCGACTTCGTCCCATTCACATTTAGCGATCCAAAGTCGTTGCATCAAAATTTTGGCGCGAATAATCACTGGAGTTGCCCATCCAAGTGGATCAAAGAATTTGGCGATGTCGGATAAAATTCTTCTTTTGGTGTTGCCAGGAGGCCCTGTAATCGTAATGGTAAATTTGAAGATGTCGCGATCTGGTTGCCAAGTAAGACCGAGAATTTTCAAGCTCTCATCTTCGTTTAGATCTCGGCTTTGAGCGAGACCGTGGTCGGTATCTTCGATCTCGTCAAGGAGTTCGGACACGTTGCTTGCCCATTTTCGTAGCGTGAATCCACCTCTTTTGAGAAGAAAAACAATCTGCTCGCGAGTTTGACGAGCGAGAACCTTGTCGTCGGCGCCGAAGATAAAGTCGTCGACGTACATTTGACGATCGATAACGGATGTGGCTAATGGAAATGAAGCGCCTTCATCTATGGCGAGTTGATTCATGACCTTCAAAGCTAAGTACGGAGCTGAAGTCATGCCGTACGTTACGGTACAGAGACGATACTCCTCAACTTGATGTGTTGGAGATGGCCGCCAGAAGATGCGCTGGAAATCACGATCGCGAGGATCGACTTGAATTTGGCGATACATTTTTGCCACGTCGGCGGAATAAACGTATCGAAATGTGCGCCAACGCAAAATCACTGCAGCAAGGTCCTTTTGAAGTTTAGGGCCCGGATATAAATGATCATTCAATGACGTACCGTTTGAGGTTCGACTTGAAGCGTTGAAAACGATACGTATTCGCGTTGTTAAACTGTTAGCGCGGAATACGGCATGGTGCGGAATATATACGATTTGATTCGAGTCGATTAATTGTTCGGTTTCTGAGACGCGTTGCATGTGTCTCAGATCATAATATTCTTTTAAAAAATTATGATATTCCGACGATTTCGATGAATCCGTTTTAATGCGGCTTTCCGTGCGAAGGTAACTCTGAAGCGCGGAATGTCGAGATTCTCCAATGTTGAGTGGAGGTCCGTGTTTAAATGGAAGTCTGACGATATAGCGACCTTCAGAATTTCGAGAGTGTGTCGAATTAAAATGGTCGTCGCATGCCTTTTCTTCACTAGTTATTTTCGATGAAGCTTCTTCGATTTCCCAAAATCGGCGGAGAGTTTGATTGAGATCATCCGTAACAGAGCAATGATGTACTCCAATGGACGACTGCGAGAGCGGTCTGAGTTGCGCTATAGGTCCGGATATGATCCAGCCTAGCGCGGTATTTTGAGCGATCGGTTCGTCAACCGCGCCTTTTCGAACGCCGTCGAGGATGAGTGACCCGAAAAGATCCGCTCCGATAATTATTTCTATTGGATCTGATCCTGCGGGATCGGGATCAGCTAACGAAAGGCCATTCAAATGCGGCCATTGCTCTGGAATGTCGAGACGGTTTGGCAAATATCGAGTTAACGATTTTAAAATTAACGCGGTGGTTCGATAAACCGGAGTGTCCGCGTTGCTGGGAGTTATCGTTAGATGAACGGCATGTCGAACGTTTGTCTGCGTTTCGCCGATACCTGTTACCCTAACAGCGGTATTTAATTTCGGAAGTCTTAATGACTGCACTAAATTTTCGGTTATAAAGGATGACGCAGATCCTTGATCGATGAGCGCTCGGGCCCATTGGAATCGACCGTGCATTGAATGCACGCGAACGCGAGCAGTTGCAAGGAGAATGTGACGCGCTGTTACAGCTTTCGCAACGATATGCGAGGAAACGTCACTTGTCGAGATGACGGGATTTGTTGACGCGGGAGACGATGACGCTTGAACAGCTGATTTCGGAGCGTCAAAAAAATGTAAAAGCGTGTGATGCCTTTTGTGACATTCTTTACACGAGCGGGTACTCGGGCATTCTTTCGCTTGATGCTTCGAACTGAGACAATTAAGGCAACGCTTGCCGTTACGAATAATTTCGTATCGCTGAGTCGGCGTTTTTCCGAGGAACGCGGTACATTGATATAACAAATGATTCGATTCGCACACGGGACACGAAAGTTTCGTGGCGCTTGTTGTATGCGAAGTGACAGCCCTTTGTTTTAATTTCGCGTTTGATTTATCGCTTTGTTTATCGAGTGTCGAAGCGATCGGTACAAGGGCGTCGAGAGCGCGAATACGAGAATCCAAGAACGCGCTAATTTCGTCAAACGTAGGATAGACGGTCGTTTTTCCTAACTTCAATTCCCACGCTTCGCGCGAGGATTTGTCGAGTCTTTGTGTGATAATGTAAACAAAAATATCGCTCCAATGTTCGACCGGACGAGACAAATTTTTTAACGCGGCAATTGCGGCAGTTAATTTGCTCTGTAGAGCTCGAAGTTCGGTCGCCGATTTCGCCGTAACATTGGGCAGTGTAAATAAGCGATGTATATACGAATTGATTAGCCGACGCTCGTTTTCAAAATTGGACGAAAGAATCGTCCACGCTACAGCAAAATTATCAGAAGTAATCGTTAAATGTTCGATCGCGGTGAGCGCTTCGCCTTTTAGACACGAGAATAAATGATGCAATTTTTGTACGTTAGACAGGCTTTTTTCTTCTATAATCATCGATTGAAAACGATCGCGGAAGCTCTCCCATTTGTCGAACGATCCATCGAAGACCGGCAATGTGACCTTCGGTAGGTTGAGTGTCGTATGAGACTGACATTCGTGCAAATGACTTACGTTAGCTGCAGGATGAACTGATGATTTGGAGAGTTCATGTACAACCTCTGCGAAATAATCCAACGCTGTCTCGTAGGCTTCTTCGCACTCGTCAAATTCGTGATCTGAGAAGTAGGGGTGCGTGGTCTTCTCCTTGGAGTCAGCGGAAGCGTGTAATTTGGCATCTAATTTTGAGCACTGTTCGAATTTTTCTTTTAATGTTTTCATGCGATTTTTCGTCACTGCATAGGTCATTTTAGCTTGACCTAACTTTTTAAAATTAGATATCGCACGAATAACTGAGCTCATTTTTGTAGACTGTTCGTGCATCAATTCTTCGAAGGATTCCATTTTACACAGGTTTTTTATTGCACCACTACGCGATAATCGAACGAGTTCGCTACTGAACGCGTAGCACCAACACAGCTGTTAACAGTCAAAAAAGGCAAAAAACCTCAGTCCCGATCCGGCTCGAAGGACCAGAAATGTTGCGGAATGCACTGATTAAATTAATTTTGATCGGGAATAGAGGAAGAAGGGGTTGATTGTTAACAGCTGAGAGTATGGTTAAAAAAAGGTTTATTCGATCTTTCACAAAAAACTAAAGTTGTCGATCTTTCACAAAAAAAACTAAAGTTTCGAGTTCGAATTAAACACACTTGGCGAACGGTGGACAAAAATTTTAACGAGAACGGACGGACATCTTGTGCTTGATCGTAATTGCTGCGCGCGTACTCGACGGAAATCTTCTCGCGATAATTTTTACAAAGATCGCAGCGATCAAGAGCCGAACGCGGATGCGCGATGCACCGTTCGCGAAATCGAGGTCTCTGAGAGTCTCCGGAACACTGTAATGTCGGAGCACGTGGTGATACATGCGGTCGTAATTGCAGCCGAACTATGCATGTATTTCACAAATAAAACTGAAATAATGGAAAATATCGCTTGCACAATATTCTACAAATTTTTGCCGATGACCGGCGGAAAATAATCGCTTTCGTGACTCGAAGGATTATGTGAACCACGCGTGATACGAATCTCCAATAACGAGGCAATGTGTTAATACACTGAGAGCCGGAACAAGAAGAAGGAACGGGAAACGAGGAAGGATATTAGCGACTCAGATAGGCATGATCGGGGGTGCGCGACAGATCCTAATCGATACACCGCGCACTTAAGTTGGCGAAAAAGGACCGCGAATGCGAATTGCAAAGAGGTGTGAGAAGGATCGGCTACGCGCTATGCCTCGGTCGCGTGGAAATTCGTGATTCGCTAATGCGACGATTTATGGTTTTCAATATATTTAATCGCGCGACATTTAAACTTTTCGCGGAGACTCTCAATTATTTTCAACGGTTCCGGAACATATATATATATATATATATATATATATATTTATATTTATATGGGGTATTTCATACCATACACAAATCGACCATTTTTTTATTTGCTTCATTTTTTTGTTTTTGCACTTATTGAAAGTAGTTTCCATGATTTTTTTAGATTTTTATCTCTATTCATACTTGAGTTATGAATTTCTAAAAGAAATTCCAAAAAATAAAATTAAAAATTTTCAAATATTTATTACTCTAAGAAGAATAAAGATGTTGCTATTGAAAAGGTGATCATTTTTTTATTTTGAATTATTTTTTAAAAAAAATATTGAAAAAATTTTCAAAAATAATTTAATAATCAACCACTATGCTCACAATAAAGTTCAGTTCGAGCCATTTAATTTCATATATATTTGTTATCTATCATCATATATATTTGTTGTCTATCTCTTTTAATTTAAAAGTTAAAAGGGGGTTGCCACATCTAGGTGGGACACGCTGTGTGTGTGTGTGTGTGTGTGTGTGCGCGTGTGTGTGTGCGTGTGCGTGAGCGTGTGCGTGTCGTCTGCGTGTACGTGTGTGTGTGTGTGTGTGTGGTGTGGTGTGGTGTGGTGTATAATATACAGGGTGAATAAAAAAAAACCGGGACCCTGAAATATCTCAAAAAATATAAGTTTTATGAAAAAATGTTTCAGATAAAAGTTATAAGGTTTAAAAAGATCTATTTACTGAACCAAAACATTCAGTTTAAAACTTTTAAAACATTCAGTTTTTGATAATTTTATCTTAATACTTTTATACACAAAATAAGGATGAATATATATATATATATATATATATATATATGCATATATATTATCAATAATGTAAAGGAAATATGTGGCAACATTGGCAACGTTATTCACGGTTAAGCTCAAATTATTTTTAAATGCATCTTTTTAACTATTGTCTAAAACACTTTTTTAAATGCATAGTTTATGAGATATCATTTTTAGATTTTTGTGATACTTTATATATGCGTGCGTACGTGCGTGTGTGTATGCAATGTTAATTTATTTTACTTAAAAAATACAATTAATTATTTTCAAAAGAAAACATTTTCGGGAAAAAGGTTTTGTATAAAATTTTCATGATTTCGAAAAAGAGATAATGTCATTAATTTGACTTTAAATAGTTGTTGGGAAGTCATTTTTAATTTTTTAAATGAAACTATTTTGCATTTTGTTATAGTTCACCTCGAGAGCCTTTCAAAGTACTATAACAAAAGTATATATTCTTTACTATAATATAATATATATTGTTATTAAGCAATTTTTGAATTACAAAACTTGAAAATGTTTTACAAAATATTTATCAAATCCTGGAAACTTTCACTTTTATAATTTGAACAGTATTTAATGGAAAAGTATTTTATCAGTGTTTTGGAAAACTTTCGAGGTAAACTATAATTTAATAAAAAATGTTTTATTTAAAAAATTGAACGTAATTTTTATATAATCTTTAAATGAATTAATCACACTGTCTTACGTCCCCCTCAAAGATAAAACTTATACAAAATATTTTTTCTTAAATTGTTTTATTTTTAAGATAAGCAACTGTATTTTTAAAAATAATAGGTCTAAAATAATAACCCGTATATATAAAATTAATATGTATATGTAAACGTTTTTATTTACAGTTAAAACGAACGAAATATAAGAAAAATATAAGAAAGAGGAGGAAGAAAAAGAGAGAAGAAGAAAGAAAACGAAGAATATATAAATAAAAAGGAACTGAAATAAAAATAAAAAAATATTAATTACAATTAATAAATAATTTTGGTGAAATTTCATACAAGATCCAATTCGCATATATCTTGACTTCCGTTAAAGTCATATAAAATTTTACAAAATTGTTTTTACTCAGAAATTCAGCTGCAAATAAAAACTGTTATTTTTATAAGAGTTTAACTACATTTTTTGTATACATTAAAAAAAAACTAAAACATGTCACGCAAAAAATCTTTTACTATATAACCATCGAAAAAATTTGTGCATATAATGTAGAAATACTTGGATTACTTAAATTTGAATTACTTAAGAATTAAAACAAAATATATTTGTTTCATTAAAATTTAAGATGAGGTAATAATAATTTTGATTATCAGTAGAATAAAATGTTATGTTTTTAAAAAAGATATTAAAAATACATAATAAAATATTTAATGCATGCATCCAAATGCATGAAGAATATTTTATAGACAATTTTATACAATCTAATTAATGTTTTATTTTAGTTTCTAATTAATCAAATATCTAATATTCTATATATAATAATTAATCAAATAATCTAATATTCTATATTGCACCTTTTGAAAAAAATTTATTTATAAAGTATTTGTTTAATAATATAATATAATAATATAATAATTAAACATAGTTTCAAATACTTTACTTTTTAAATATATTGCATTTTTATTTACTTTAAAATATTTATTGTTTATTATAAATGTAGCAAACGAATTAAATATGAACTTTTTTTCAAAAATAGTGAATTTTTATTTGTTTTAAAATGTTTATTACTCAGCAGTACAAAAAAGTTATATATTTTACTTATAATCATCAATTATTTATTTTATATAAATGTTACAACATTCTTTACTAATGTATTTATAATTAAATGTTGTGCACAAATTAATTTGAAATCTTGTATAGTATATTGTATTTATCAGCTGCTACATAAAGATCATATACTTCATTTATAATCATTAGTTCGAGCTTGTTAGATAGCCAGTTTCCATAAAGCATAATAATTCCTTTAGAGTATCGTATTTTACATTATAGTTATTTTACGGTATTGTTTACGTTTTCTTTAAAACCAAATTTAAACATTTTTAAATATTTTAAATATATATATATATATATATATATATATGACAAATTATATTATATATACAATATATATATATATATATATATATATACATATACATATAATATAATTTTTTGTTGCATATCAACATTAATTATTCTATAATAACTATTTATTGAAATATTAATTAGAACAATTTAAAGAGAAAAAATATGTTATATATATTTATTGTGTATGTGTATATAAATATATATCTAAAAAAGGCATGTTAACTGTGTGAATTCAATTTGTATCGAAGTTTTGAAGCCTCTTTTCCGCGACGCTGATTGGTTGTCTCGAAGTTTGTTTCGCGGCTTGTGTGAATCACAACCAAGATTGTTTGATAGTTTAACAGTTTGCGGTTAATCATTTAGAATAACATAAAGAAGATAAAAGATAGAAATAGAAGAGATATAAGAGAAAGACAAGATTCCCTTTCTAAAAAAGGCATGTTATTTATTCTCGAATGTATCGAAGAATTGTTGCCTTTAATCCGTGATGCCGATTGATTCCGTCATAGCGTTTTCTTCGTGAGCGGCTGTCATTGCATATTTTGACAGTTGTATGTATCGAGAAGTTAGTGTAGTGATAGTAATGTATATTAAAGATTTGGTGTATATGTACAATATAATAGTTAAAATCTGATAAATAAGTGTTTATTAATTTTATGATTGAGTGATTTCGACTACAATTTCTCAGTTAGAAAGGGAAATAGAAATTCGGTAACTTAAAATTATGTATATATAGAAATTCAGTTAATTTAGATTATGTACATATATTTCTATTATAAGATATAATACCGAATTTGAAATCAATATTTACTAATATTACAGATGTATTATCTATATTAAATATAACAACAAAGGAAATCGGTAACAGTAATACTGACAAGATTTTGAAGGAGATAATTGAAAATTTAAATAATATAATATAGAAATAATGAATAACACAAACACAAAATTGCTATGTACGATTAGCAATAATATTAATACTGAAGACAGCTTTATTCCGAAAAAAGTTTATAAAACGCTTGATATACTAATTTAACAAAACTCGTAGAAAGAAATGGAAAGTACAATTCTGGATATTAGTCACCATGTCAAATCGATCTTTCTTTCAAGAGTAATA